ACTAGTCGCTGTGCGACTGCCTGCGAGGGTTCTAGTATGAGCCCCATGGCACAACGGAACGAGCATGTTTCGTAACCTGATCGGCGAGCGCCCACTGTCATAATATATACACATGTACGCATATATTTATCCGCCGAAGAAGACGGGTGGATTTATAAACCAAATTGTATCGATATCGAAATTTCGAAAAATTCCTCATTTCCATCATTAGAGTAGTGAGGTTTTTGTTCCTGGTGGTTTCGACTTGCCGTTCTCAGTATTCTAACTATATAACTGTGCCATTCTTGTTTAATCCTTTTTTAGGGTGTAAAACGCGTCGACCAGTTTCCCATTCTTGACTACTTCCGAGAAGCTGTTAAGGCCAGAAACGACTCAAAAAGCGCAGACACACCAGGCAGCACATCAGCCCTGCACTCCGGCTCCTCCGTTGCTAGCAGTCTGCCGCGTCAGGGCTCCTCGGCGGCTGTCGGCCCCTCCAAGCAGCAGGAGCGCCAAAACCCCCAAAGTCGAATGCGACAGCTGGAGGGGCTGCTACAAAAGAAGCATTAGAAACCGGCTGAAGGCGGGCAGCGGCTCAACTATCTCCTTCCCCCCAGTTCTTTGTTTCCATTTGTCATAAGCTCTGCCCCCATTAACATTTAGCCTTCCTTTCGCCTCCCTGTTTCCCTATCCGCTGCCCTGTTTACTCTTTTGGCTGTGTCATTTTGCTCCTTTTTAAAACACCCTTGTCTTCTAAAGAGCACTCCGATTTAATTCCACCGTATCTTTTCTCTTTTCTTAGCTGACAGGGTAGGGGGTGGGTTGTGCAGCCATTTAATGTACTCCGTGGCAGTCTGACGAGCTGTTTCAATGGGGGAGTGAAATCAGTCTTCTGGTAGAGGTGACACAGTTTAACCCGGTCTGCTTTTAGGCAGTGCCAGGCTAAGTAACTGTTTGCGCACTGGTTTTTTCTTCCTCGACAGTGTTTGGAGGCAACGGACTTTTCCTACTTAGAGATCGGAGACTGTATTCATGCCTGTCACAAAAACAATGGATGACTTTATGAGTATATGTAAGATCGTACTTTCACGGTGCGCGACTGTAGGCACTGCAGACAGCAGACTGTAATTCGTACGGTATGCACCTGACCGACATTTTGAATGTGCACTGGCTTAGGAAGAGGAGAGAGGATTATAATCAGAAGCTCACATCTGTACGATGTCATCCCTTGTAAGTCGGGTCATCTGTGTGAGTGACACAATCTCCGTGGGACGCGGGGATGCCGGCATCAACTTGCCTGTGTTTCACAGAATGAACTTACAGCAGTCCACTTAATTTTATTCCGTGGGGAATGGTGTCTTTAGGATTTTTCACCCAAGTAGGTGCTGGCATTGATCTTGAAGGCGTCTACAGACAGGAGAATGTCTTAGGAGGGTGGGGGACCGTTTGCTGGCGACTCCACGCCTGTATGACACTGAACAGCCGTGAGAAGACTTTCAGGTCAGAGAAAACGGCAAAAATGGTCGATAACTGCCCCTCCGGCCAATTCAGCGGAACGCGTACCATTTGCAGGCAAAATGTGCCTCGGTAATTGACAGCAAAAAGCTCTTCGGAACGCCCTAGTTTCATTTCTCTTGATTTCTACACATTTAAATCGAAAGGCAGCGGGGTTTGCGATCGCTTCTTTTAAGGGGCTATATGGCGGTCGTTTCCCAAACACCCGAGTTTAATTAATAGTGACAAGTGAGTTACTTCTCCGGTAGACTTTCCATAATTGAATTTCAAAGTGACCAGTGCTACTTCAAAGGGAGTCTGGGACTCTTGCTTGACGATGACTTTTTGCCATAGTGGTTAGTATAACTTCTGACTTGCAAATGTACTCTTCTTTTGATGGAAGAGTCGGTGTTGAAATCGAACTGAGATTTGAACCTCAGGTCTATCATTTAAATGAGCTGAGATGATATTTGCTGCGAAAAGGTAACACTCATTCATTCTGTCCCCAGGGAGGTCGGATTTCACATTATAATTCCTGTCTAGTGCGGAACAGTCTGATGTCCTTGCATCCGTCTTCGGGTGTCAGTTGAATGTCCCAAAAAGGTCTTTTAACTGCTGCGGGTCTTTAGCTCAACGAAGACCCTTCAATTGATCTTTGAACTCGTTGAATTTTCAGCTACTTCCGAAGACATATTGGTGTGACAAGAATAGAAATCCCTCAAAGTATAGGTGGTCCGGCGCTGAATTCCAGGAAGATTTCCAGTACTCGTGTCGCGCTGACTGATCTACAGTAGATGTGCTAACTCATGAAATATCAACCAAAATTTCGAAATGTGTTCTCGTTTCGAAAAGATAAATTAAGTAGTGTTGTAAAACTAATCATGATGCAGCATGAATCAATAATGATCCAGCTACCTCAGGGTGTCGGCTTTCGAAAGAACTTATTTTCGGCTGCATGCGAGATCTTCACTCTGCAAAAATGATTACTTACGTAGCAGGCAATTTTCTCATTGATTTTCCATGCCCCTGAAAATTCAATTATATTTCATGGAAAACATGCATAAAAATATTCATTCTTTTACTTATTCGGTAGAAAATCACGTCTTCTTCCAATTTCATACTCGAAGGAAGAGTATAATTCGGTTTTAAAAAACGTTTCTAAATTCCGAATAATTTTGAACCCGACCTGCTGTTACACTTGCATTCAGGGTTTCAAAACTACAAGCCGTATATTTTCCGCGTACGGAATCCACACATTTCTCTACGTTAATAAAGAGGGACCATACAGGGTTTATAAAATTAAGCAGTGGATTTGAGCAATATCGTTAACTTTACAAGCCACATTCGTAAATGCAGATACATGACGTTTCATGAACGGCCATTTAACAGTATTAAAAAATCTCACAATTAGAAACTTTTTTAAAACCGAATTATACTCTTCTTTTGAGTATGAAATTGGAAGAAGACGTGATTTTCTACCGAATAAGTAAAAGAATGAATATTTTATGCATGTTTTCCATGAAATATAATTGAATTTTCAGGGGCATGGAAAATCAATGAGAAAATTGCCTGCTACGTAAGTAATCATTTTTGCAGAGTGAAGATCTCGCATGCAGCCGAAAATAAGTTCTTTCGAAAGCCGACACCCTGAGGTAGCTGGATCATTATTGATTCATGCTGCATCATGATTAGTTTTACAACACTACTTAATTTATCTTTTCGAAACGAGAACTCATTTCGAAATTTTGCTTGATATTTCATGAGTTAGCACATCTAATGTATGTGCACTGGGCTGTGTTCTTTGGGCGAAGGCGACCACGCTATCTGTTTTGGACTGCTGCTTCCCCCTGTTGATAGACCGGACTTGATATCTTAACTTACCTCCTACATCAATGAGGGGCAAGCACATGAGTCAAACAAGTGGTTTCCATACTACTTCACATTCTACTTTTTCAAGCGAAAACCTAGTTTTGTAGGGTCGAATCACCTTCTGGCATGAGATATCTTTGCGAAGGAGACACGATCACTGGAACAGGAGCTTTATTAGCATGACGTTCCGGCTTCTCACTCACATTCATAGTCAGTGACAGAGTCAGATAAGGGTGGTAGATTGCCCAATTGTTGCAGTATTTATAGGATGTAGTTGCTGGGCTGTTACATGCCTACCAGATTTGGCGGCTCCAGAGAGCATTTGAACTGTCGGGCCGGATGTTGAATCATGCAGTTGTCATATGGGCGCTACGCGTTTGCGTGCCGGTCAATATTATCGGCTTCCATGCTCCTCGCACGCAGCCGAGTTGCTGACTGCCCGATTTTGTCATCTGTGTGAACTCTTGGGCAATGTGCTTCGCTGATATTGACACCAGGAACAGTGGTCATCCTCGCACTCGTCTCGCGGTTCACTAATTTGCCAGACCAAAGTATCAGCGCCAGATCATGAGGCCTAAAGGCTTTTTACCATAACAAGAAGCATCTGTGGTCGCTTAGGGGGTCTGGTGCGATTTTTGGGAATGCTAATATGTCGGAGATACCGGGAGACTAATCCGGACGCGGTAGCTCGAGCACGCAGCAGCAGTGAGGAAGAACGCGCCAGTTCTCAAATCGTGGCTCATTCGACGGAGTCCAAACACACATTTAAGTCTGACGAACCAAAACCTTTTGCTAGATATGACAACTGCGTGAGCCGCGAACTACTCAAATCATGGTTTTCCGGTCCTCAATCAATAAACAAGCACAGCAACCTCCCCTTTGAATATTTGGCGCTGAGACTTTGTCTAGGCAAAGACGTTAACCTTGAGGCGAGTGTTCGGATGACCCCTGTTCCTGGTGTTAATATCGTCGATGCATATTGTCCAAAAGTTCACACGGATGACGAAATCGAGCAGTCAGTAACTTGACTGCGTGCGATGAGCGTGGGAGCCGATAATATTGACCGGCAGACAAACGCGTAGCAATTGCATGGCATCTGCATACTTTAACAGCTGGCCAGTGGAGTTTAAATGATCTCAAGAGCTACCAACTGTGATAGGCACGTAGCGGCTCAAAAACTACATCTTATTCATACTGCAACATTAGGCAATTTACCACCATCATTTGGCTCTGTTTTTGATGGTGAGTTCGAGTGGGGATCAAGACCGTCCGACTAATAAAGCTCTTGTTTTAGCGATCGTGTCTCCTTCTTCGTGACAACATCCAGGAACTCGCCTCTTCACATCTAATATAAAATATCTTTAAACATTGTAACGTCTAACAGGGTATTATTCATACTCAAACACACAATCATTTCTCAGTATGATAACAGGTTACTTAGAAACTAGTTAAAAGGTTAAAGAGTTACTAAGGGGCGAGCTAACCCGTGCAAAAGCTGCATAAACTGACTATGCCTCGAAAAAATACAAACTGTTGTATATGATTTCTTGTATATCTAAAAGCGGTGAACCCTGCTCACGGCAAGGTGCAATTGAGCATGATAAAAACCTGTATAACGCACTCAAGACGACACGCTGTTATTGGGTATTGGTGTATATTTAAAATGAGCCAAATGGCGTACTGCCGCGTTTGATCTGCAGGGTGCGACCCCTGATGATTTGCGCTACCCTCTCCTCCTCCTTCCCCTCCTCCTCCTCCTCCTCCTCCTCCTCCTCCTCCTCCTCCTTCTCGTCCTCCTCGTCCCCCTGCAAACCGTTTAGCAGCAGGTCTGAGCAGCTGGAAGCTCCGAACTAGTCGGACGTTTCTGCCGGCAACCATGAAAAAAATGGGTCTAGTTGACATTTGTGAAAAATTGTCGAAATCCCTCCTTGTCTTTGGATCTTTCCGCCACCAAACACCCGCCTCGCGTTAAACAGCTGGGCGGCTGTTTTTTTAGTCATATGCTGGGTATATTTTCACAAAAAGACATTTTCCCTTTAGCGAGGGCAAAACCCTTAGCTTGGCTTATGGGTATATTATACGCCTTGTTCTTCCATCTTCCGGTGGAAGGGCGCCCTGGCGAAACCGACGCCTCACAGGGTGATCATTTGTCATCTTAATTTGCTCAAGGCTGTTGTAAAAGAATGGAAGGGCTTAAGTAACATTTGCTGTGGAACACGTCAAAGATGCCACTCGAAAATGAAGTATGTTTGCTATTATGACTTTTAAAACAATCTTGAAGTTGATTATTTATGCTTAACACCTCCGCCAATAAATTTTGCCGAGGTTTTCTTTGGGTAAAGTGGAGGGGTTTCTGCTGGGTTCAACCTCGCGTTTTTTTAACTGTTTATCTTGCCTCCTCCACACTCTGAAAGTAGACAGTTTCTTAAATTTCGGTTTATTTTCGAGTATGTTTAGCCCACAGAAATTTCTTTAGGCCGGTTTACGTACCATCGATAACTCCACTGCTTCTTGTTGTAAATCCTGATTTCCGCATCCCCCCCCCCCTCTCTCTCTCTCGGAACGTTGATCTGAAACAGAAGGAGGACTGAAGTGAGTTAAAATTAATTGGACAGACGATTTCCCTTGGGCAGGCCTTACATGCTTTTCTGTAAACTCTCGCAGTTTGATTGGCTTAAAACGTGAATTGTTTTACTACCAGCTTCAGAAAATGATGTAAAGGAATACTAGTGTGGAGAAGGACAACGAGGTAGGCAGATCCCTAGTTTCTGTCATCCTGGAAAAGAATGACACTCCGATAAACCTCCTGACAGTTGGAACGATGTACTTATAGGAAAAAAGCCCAGGGAGGAACATTCAGTTTAAGTCATAGCTCCAAGTCAAGCATTTTTAGGAGCAAAATCTCTTTCAGGCTGGTAATTTTAAAGCAGTCAGTTGTTCACCACTTAATTTTGAAGACGAAAATTAATCGCCGCATATGATTTATGTGCGTGTCGGAATACCTTTCTCTTGAAAACCAAACTACGTGGTCACTACGCCGCGAAAAATTGTTAATCTATACGAAAAAAGGCTAAATATGTGCCGATCAAGCCGTGCCGATTTCCGTCCGGCAAGGTTAACATCTCATCAGACGGTGAAACTACACAGAGTCCACCCACTCAGCACATAGAAGCACGTTTCACAAAGTGATATGTTTATTGATGATCGAATTACTCTTGAGAGGCACTTCAAAGTTAAAAGAGCTCGCGTTCAAAGGAAAATAAGTTCCCACGGAAGACAGCAACAAAGAACTTGGCAAATAGGGCTTTGCATTCGGGAAGGGCGACGTCAGACCCGACTGTCAGTAATTTGACTCCTATAGGCGGAACGCGCTCCCAGTGCGCTAGCGTTTCCCACTATCCTGTGCTCGGCCGCAAAATCGGCTCGACTTGATTTCCCCTTGAATTCTTAAACTTTGCGCAGAGAGCTTTTGCAGTGTTCTGGTAGTCGCTTTCATCTAAACTGCTACAGCATCTAGTTTACAATTTGCTTGCCGCTGATGCCGTCTGGGAAACAGAATACACACGCCCGAGTTCGATGTTTGAGCTCTTTTTTCGCCAATTTCGCCCAAAAAGTCGAAACAGCCCCTATATGACGATGTAATCTCCTTCTGACTAGTCGTACCTACATACTCAGGTTGTTTACTTGTTTCCTCAAATGTACAGAATTTTACGTTTTTCCAAATTCCTGCCTTTATTCCAGTTTAAGCTCACTGTATCATAAAAGTAATATTGCCTGGAAAGGGAGATCACGCGGTCCCTCAGCTTCCTCCCGACTCTGATTCACGACGACCTGCGTGTGACCAACCAGATTGCATGGCTCTCTTTAACTCGTTCTGTCAATGAAACGCATAGTGTTAGAGCTACGGAGCTCACTCGTTCCGTTGTGCCTTAAGGGCTCTCTCTCCAGCCCAACCAGCAGCCGTACAGCGGAGCATGATATAGGCAGAATAGCATTACCGACAAAGGCAATGTAGACTGGAATGGACATTTCTCTCTTATTAGCTGTCGCTGGCCAGTCATACCCAAGCCCGAAGTGTGGAACATCCGACCCTCGAACTCGCGACCTGTTAGTTAGAGGTCCACACCTCTAACCACGGCTAATAAACCAGAAATGGCCATTCCAGTCTCCCTTGTCTTTGTCGGTAATGCCATTCTGCCCATATATCATGCGCCTCTGTGCGGCTGCTGGTTGGGCTGGAGAGAGAGCCCTTAAGGCACAACGGAACGAGTGAGTTCCGTGAGAACGATCGGTGAGCGCTCCTCTACCATTGTATATTCCCGATCGACACCGACGGGGCAACGGCCCCGTGGCCCAGTGGTTAGAGGCTTTGCACTCCAAACTAGCAGGTCGCAGGATCGAGCCTTATGTGTTGCACAACTCGGGCTTGGGTGTGGTTGGCTGACAACGACTAATAAGCCAGAAATAGTCATTTCAGTCGGTAATACCATCCTGTCTAAGGATCGGATAGTTTTAGGTTTAAACAAGTCTTATGCAAGTTTAGAGCTTAAGAATTTCCTAGAGCAACGTGATTATCAGACGCATTTGCTTCTTCGCTTTTTTCTTCCCTGATACAAGACTGCTGTCTAAGTCCCTACAAATTACAGGCAATGAGGGAAGACCGACTAGCCTATAGGATCTTAGGTGATCATAAATGCGTCTCCGTTTGAATGAATGAATTATTGAGGGAAGTACAGTGCCAAGGCACCTAATTTGCAGCTGTAGACGGAAAAATTTGAATTCCAGAAAACGTTTTCATTTTCTTAATTACCAGAAACATTACCACAGTTTAAGAGAGCTCTGGTTCTTATGATAAGAAGCAAATGACTCAACGACTGGCCAAAGTAATTAATAAAGAAATCTAGGGATAAGATAATTTTCATGCGGAGTGTTTGTACATTACGTAAACCAACTTAAATTTAAATCGTTTCAAATTTATTTTTTAACGCATTTCTGAAAGAAATATTCATTCAATTTTTTAAACATCGGATTGAAAAAACTACACGATCGCTTCGCACCTAGACGAAAAGTTTGACAAGATAGTCAAACAAATTAATCTACTCTTTCTGATATTCGAAGCTAAGTAAACGACCCTTTCGTCTACGCTCAAGTCATGCCACCAATGGAAATGTTTGAGGCAGAGTTAAATGAACTAATTGATCAATGGGACTACTATTAAAAAATTTAAAGTTTTGTTAATTAACCTCACTGGATTCATGGACCTGGGATTGAGTGGAATCTGGTCAGTTAACGGTCACAGTTGGACTTTCCAGGCGTGCAAGAAAGAAGCCACTGGTCCCTTAAGCGACGCTTGAACTCACTGGAAAGCAAATACTTAAATTTGACTTTGCTAAAAGAAATACTACCATTCTAGCGTGCATCATTGAATTCAGTAATTCAGAACGGGTGGACCAGACAATAAAATACAGTTAATTGGAAACCCGTCAACACCGAGAAGCATTATTGGTGTGTGAATAGTGAGTAAGCAGCACTTTATGGGAAAATGGAGGAAATTCGCTTCTATTCCTGCTTGGACTTTTTAACTGGAACTGATTAAATATTTCTTACGGCTTCACAAAATTCCGTCAAAGTGACCGAAGTTTGTGTGTATGTATTTGAGGGGTTAGAGGCAGAGCCCTTCATGACCCTATTTATCCACAATGCTTTCGCAGATTCACAATCAAAATAAGGTTGTGAAAATTTGCAATGTGATCAGATGCCAGTACAGTCGTAATGAAAAGAAAGTGCATCTTTTCAATGTAAGTCAGTGGGGAGAAATGGTTTAGGACAAAGTGTTTTACAAAGCTGACTGTTAGTATTTATATTGCAAAAGTCGGTTTCTGTCGAAAATCAAACAAGCAAGTTTTCTCTTAAACATGCGAACTGTGGCGGTCGTCACAATCTCACTTATGAGCAAGTCCCATGGTCGGAAAAACTTCTGGCTGAATAAATTTTCTTACGTTCTAGATACGTGCTTTCACTCTTGACTTTGTAAGTTTGATCGCGTTATTGGTTAGTACGGACAAAGTCAAAAATGTTCTTCGTTCTTAATGAGCAATCTCGGCCACGGACAATCCGGAATGTCCAGGGCAGACTGAAGTTTAGCTGCCTGTAAGAGAGGGGGGTAGGCCAAGCACATTCAGCCTCTTTTAGTAAAACAAATGTCTTAAAACCATCGACCATCTTCGTTGCTCTGCGTTGCACCTGTTCGAGTAAGTCAATATGTTCCCTCATCCATGGCGAAGCTGCTGACATTCCATATCCTAGATAAGGTTTTACAAGGACGCCCAAACGTCTTTCGAAGAGTTCAGGAGGGAATATTTTAAATGCACGTCTTATCCGGTGTAAAGTACTAGTTGCCTTCTGGGCCATATTTTTACACTGTTCTGATAGCAGTAGATTCGTAGTTGTCCATACACCCAGATCTCTGTGTCTTTCTGCAGTTTTTAATGCCCCTCCCGATAACAAATTAATGATGTTTGGGAGAGGCATTTCGATCGGTGTTTGGGTGCAATACCACGCATTTAGACACCTTAAACTTCAAAACCCATCTGTTCGACCGAACACTCAGCTTGTCGATATTCGACTGCAAATTCTTTGCGTCATCATCGCACTTGAAGTCATTCCATATTTTATGTCATCCGCGAAAATGAAGGCCTCGCAATCCATTTCGCCGACGCAATCACTAACATAAATCAGAAACAGGACTGGGCTTAAAACAGACCACTGTGAGACATCACTTTCCACTTTTACCCATTCCGAGGTAGAGTTACCAACTCTGGAGGATAGAAAACTCCTTATCCTTTTCCTTGAATTCCTAAATCGCAGATCTTCCGTAAAAGAGGCCTGTGTGGGACACTATCAATGGCCTTCTTGAAATCAAAAATATGACATCTACCGGATAACCCTTATCAGTAGCCCTTGTCGATTTCTTGTGCGAGTATAGAACACTCATTATGCAGGAGCGTACTTGACGAAAGCCATGTTGGACATCAAACAATATTTTGTTTTTTTCCAGGTATCGCATCAAGGGTCATTTGATAATGAGTTCCATTATTTTGCACACGATGTAAGTAAGACTGACGGGACGATAATTTCCACAGTCAAGTCCTGAGCCTCCTTTTTGGATCGGAGTGATGTGTGCACACTTCTATTCTTCCGGGAGCTCGCCTTCTTCAAACGACTTTTGAAATATTGCAGACAGTGGTTTACAAAGTTCATCAGCAAGGTTACGTAGTGTTAGCGCGCGAATTCTATCTGGGCCAGGCGATTTGGCAGGTTTCAGCCGGAGTATTTCGGCCTAATTATGGTCGATGAAAAGAGTGGTTCCAGGATTTGGGAGGGGATGGAAGGGGCAAGAGGGGAAGGAGACTAGGAGGAGACTTTGGTTGGCGACAGTTTAAATACAGGAACATTTCATTCAGACGCTGGATAGACGAAACGGCGTTTGATGAGACAAAGCTTTTGACAGGTTCGACTGCGGAGCTGTTCATATCGTATTTACTCGGTTCCATGACCGAATCAGTCTCTGAATCGTAGGCCAGAAATGCACGCCGCTCGCCACCAAGACTGGACGCCCTCATTGAGTGGTGAAACCTACAAGCATATGAAGGGAACTCCGATGGCTTCCGCCGTTTGTCATGCTGATGTGTAGGTGGTTTTGTTAGAGTAAGCGGGCCCACTTATGTACACTCCTGAGAGCGTCATCTCGCGGCAAAATTAAAACACGAGTTCAGTGTTAACCAAAACTCTGAAATGAATTTTCGCTTTGAAAAGATTACTTCAATGAGGTTTAATAAGCAATCATCATGCAACTTCAGTCTATAATAACTGAGATACCTCGGGATGCTGGCTTTCGAAAGAACATCTTTCCGGCCGAATGCAAAAACCACACTATGCAAAAAATGACTGCTTAAATAGCGTGCATTTTGCTCAGGGGTTTTCGATGCCACTAGAAATTTTACTATATTTCAGGTAAAACATACATAAATACATTCATTTTTTGCCTATTTGGTAACAACCTACGTCTTCTTCCAATTTTATACGTGAAGGAAGCGTATAATTCCGTTTTAAAACGTTTTTACCATGAGATTTCTGTTTCGCAAAATGCCCATTTTATAAAACATCGTGTCGCTGCATTTACTAACATTGTTTGTAAAGTTTACAATTTAGCTTGAATCCACTGCTAAAGTGTATCAACCACACATAATTTCCTTTTAATACTATAGAGAAATGTATGGTTTTCCGTACGCGGAAAATATGCGGCAGGCCGGGTTCAAAATTATTCGGGAATTGAAGGGTTTGAAACCGAATTATGCCCTTCTTTCGAGTGCAAAATTGGAAGAAGTCGTCGTTTTCTACCGAATGAGCAAGAGAATGAATATTTTTACGAATACTTTACAGGAAATTTAATTAAATTTCTAAGGGCATCTAAAATCAATGAGAAAAAGTCATGCTTACTATGTAGTGGTCTTTGCAGAGTGGTTTTTCGCATTCAGCCGAAAAGATGTCCGTTCGAAAGCTGGCATCTTGTGGTCACTGATGCATTATAGAATTATGCTGAATGATGATCACTTTTTGTATCCTACTTAAGTAGTCTTCCTGAAACAGAAACGCATTTCAGAATTTCGACTAACATTTCATGAGGTAGAACAGCTGCTGTATGGCTGAGTTATACTAAGATGATACGCATCCTCACCCAGGGCGCACTTGTGGAGTTGCGTCCAGTCTACCTTCGAAGAACTTCAGAACGGCCGTGTCGCCGAGGAAGAATGAGCTAAAGTAGCCTGACATTTATGTGAACAGGTGCGGCACAGTACCTGCGGTAACCGTTTCATGATTCGGGGATTTCATGCTGGGCATTGAGGTGAGGAACCGACCGAAGATGTGAAATTCCTTCGCCTGCATCAGCTATTTTCAGGGGCGATAAGGAGTGTTTTTGCAGGTCCAAACCTCAGTGTTGCTCCTTAATCAGAGGTGATACGTGTGCAGTAGAAGCATGCAAAATCACAAGTAACTAGGGTTTAATCAACAGTCCTTCCTTTCTATCATTATCATTTCAGAAAATGCACCACGCCCCACGGAGGCTGCACCGACGAAGGCTGTAGTAGGGTGGCTACATAAATACAGACGGACAGTGCAGGCAGGCGACCGGTTATCTGACGTGTGCGATCATTCAATTTTTTCGGACACAAAAATAATCGTCCAGGTAGTGATTGACGCAAAAGAAACCATGAAAAACCAATCGAACTGCCTCATCACTGTTCCAGTTTGCGACTCCCTTTCCAAATTGACTACTGAAAAGCTAAATTGGGTTTAAAATGCTGTCCCCCTAGGATGGAGTTGTGTACCAGCCCATAACATATGATGCGTTATGTCCATGTCCCGCTGATAAAAGTTCCTTTTCATTGGCTGTTGAAATTTACCTTCCACTGTTACAGGACATGTTAAATTACCGGTACTGGCTGACGGCTTGCTAGATAAGGAGTACAGTTTTATGTAAAGAAGGACTCTGCCTACTCTGTTCAGCCCGGACGTGCGCAACTGGACGTCCGAAAGCCCGTTGAACACTCGCAATAATGACATATAAAATTAGTAACTGAAGTTCAGTTTTTGAAATTCTGAAAACGCTTTGGACAATTGTTTCATCCTGATTTTGCTTCATGCAGTCTTCGAAAAAGCAAATCTCAGTGTGAGTATGTAAGTTGCTTAGGAGAGGATGATACCACGGACAGTCAATGAGTCCTTCGGGGGTCATTTACAAAGTGAGCGATTTAAAACCGTACGTACATCGGCTGATTACTTAGGTAGAGGCTGAGATTGATCCTCTAGCGTACCTACCCGGTTATGGTTAGGACAAACGCTTGGCTTCCCTCTGGTGATCTGCCTGTAAGTACGGGCCTCACCTGATCCACGCGTCAAGATGACGGTACACGGGATACGAAACCGCACTGGTGGCTATAAATACAATTTGCAAATAATAGGACACTGCTTAACAATGGGCTCACCCAACATGCCGACAAATTAGCTACCAGACCGCACAACCTTCGCAGAGACTCGATCGGCTCCCGCTCGAGACGGTGATCTATAACTCAGGCAGCTGCCAAACACATCAGAAATCCGCCAAAAGGCTGAAGCAGTAGAAAAACCAAAATTGGATCAGGTCAAAACCGAAAAGTTATCTGAACGTTTGCTCATATTTTTTGTATTAAACGTCTTGATAATGGGGAACCTACCCATGGAAATGTAGTTAGGGGCTAAGCACAAGATCATCCGTACTGGGAGAGGTTTTTTTTTCGGCATATTGCCTGAATCTGTTCCGATGGGCTGGCTTCCCATTCCACGCTGGTCACTGTTCAGTTCAACTTCCTCCAACGTTTGCTGAAAGAACTGTGGACCGACAACCGCTAAGCGCGTTACGCAGACGATAACTTTCACTGTTACCGTTTTTGAAAAAAAAACTATAACTCTAAGTAAGGTCAAGCAAGGTTTTTTCTAACTGGTGATTGTCGTGGAGACGTTATAAAATGGATTTATGACATTAAGTATTTCCACATCACTGCTGACATTTATACGGCAGAGGAACGCTTTTGGTCACCAGGCCCGTCAGAGCCCATTTCTGATATGGCTGCTAGTTTTTAGGCCATAACGTCCATTATAACAAACGTAATATTGGAGGAACACCGACGTACACAAGTCTGATTTGGATGGTGAGTACTGTCCTATGACCTATTGTCTGTTGTCCCCATCCCCCAGCCACAAGTTTATTTGGCAGGATGGTAGTTGGTAGACCTGCCCACTGATTCTACAAGCGCCATTTACGCCTCCACTCATTTGCCCCACCCGTATAGCCCCTATTACCACCGGTACCGTAAGTCAGGTAGCTGGGGGTTTTCGGTGCCGGAAGGGCTACCAACTACCATCTAACCGTTTAATTAACCCCGGTGTTGATCCCGAACTGTTTGATAATAGAGCTTCAAACACACCTGCCCTATGGCGAAACTCCCAGAAGTCATCGGAGATGCTTATTCCGTACTGCAATCAGATTGGCTAACGTGCCTCAACCATCTCCCACTGTAGGCTAACAGACGTTTTTTTCAAAAATGAAACTGGGCGTCAAGACGCGGGATATAAAACTGAAATGTTTTCTCACGCGTTTGAATCTAAAAAATTAACGCCTATGTGATTCAGTGATAGTTTATGCAAAAACGCAAACTGATGTATGCACGATATCAAGGTGACTTACGACCGAGAGTGATTCCAGTCACGACAGTTCGACCGTCGTTGTCGACGGTGTCCATCGTGTGCTCCACAGCGAGGTGAGAGCCGGCACTGTGAAAACGGACTTGCGTAGCATCTACTGCACCCTCCTCTTCTCCTCCACCTGGGTCCGGTATCATGAGCCATGGATAGGCCGCTGGTGGCTAGCACGGTCGCACCCATATCTAGGCGTGCCATAACATCCTCTGGTCCAAAAAACAATTGACCAGGGCTTTGATCGACGAAATAAACGGGCCAAAAATGCGACTTGGATGATTAGGCAACTGTGAACACGAAATGTATACTCAGCTGGAGCTTAAACGCATTTACTCGCAGAAAATCAGGTGATAGAGAACTGCCGGCGCTCACCGGGCTGCGATTCATGACACAGCAGACGCATACGCTACTTACGATTCTCGTCGACAGTTCGACCGTCGATTTCGACGATGTCCACCGTGTGCCCCACAGACTGCATTGTGAGAGCAGGGACGGTGACTTACGCAGGGGTTTATAGTTCCAGTAGACTTGCGTAGCATCTACCTACACTCTCTCCTCCTCCCCCGCCTGAGCCCGGCGTCAAGACCGAGTCAAGAAGACCGGAGACGAGGGAGGCCGCAGGTGGATGGCTAGGACGGATCCTTGCCTCGGCGCTCAACTCCGCACCCCCTGGTCCACACACAAATGACCAGGATTTTGACCACAAAACAATGAGGTGGCGGCAGTGGTCCAGTTGAGCGACAAATGCCGACAACAGGGTCCGCCAGCGTACCCCGCAAATGTTGGCATTTGTTATTGCGCACAGATAACGCCTGCCAGAGTCCGATGTGGCCCCCGTGTTGGTTCAGCGCATCTATCACGTGGCCCATTTAGGGGGCACACACACTGAAAATTGCGCAAGTACTATGCACTTTTTCCGCTAAGATCTGGTAGCTGTGTTTCTGATTAGTGTAACTTAAAATACCATCCGACAGGAAATTACCTCTTTGTCGTTAAGCATCTTCTTGAACGAAAGGTTAGGGAGGTGTTTCCGACAAGTTCTTTATCCCCATCTTGACTGAACACTGAGATTTGCTTTTTTTCACAGCGCGTATTGCAGTCCTTCACTAAGGGACAGGGGACTTTCCTCGCAGTGATGTAGAAACTTGTGTGAGATTTTGCCCGGGAGAACGTGCGCGACTCATGGTCTACAAGGCCTTTACGCAGGTACATTGACAGGTTGTAATTAAAATATGTCCGAAATGGTGTAGTAATTTTTTCAAACCAACATACATCTTTTCGTTAAAGCAGGAAGTTTGAAAAAACCCTGCGTTTTCGCCGCTGCAACAAGAGGAGAGAAACATTTTTGAAGCTTTTAGGTCATTTAATTTTTGCAAAAATTGAACAACGATGCTAGTAAAACAGTGCAAAAGTCATTGTTTTACAAATGTGACTGGTGTAGGTGAATGCAGAGATGTTTAAAAATAGGTCATCTTGGTGTCGTGAACGTATCGCTGCTGTTTTTTTCTACTCTTTTTCAGTCAGGATTCCGTCGTACTTAATATATATATATATTTAAAGAAAAAAGTTCTTTCGGAAAGGCAAATAAGTTTAATTGCACATTTTCGACTTTGATTTCCCAATTCCTCCTCAGACATGAAGTAAGTGCGCAAAACAGTTAACACAAACAGGTATTTAAAAATGAAAAAAATATTTTAAAACGGAAAAAAGACAAATAAAATTTCCTGCCCACAGCCATTTCAGGAACCCCCACCGTTTAATCAGACAGTCTGTCTGTCGTCTCTGCCATTGTCAACGAGTCAATTGTAAATCTAGTCATTATTATTTCTGCATAAATAGAATGTTACCGCCTTATTCATTGACTAAGTTTTTGGTCTCTGGTTGTAACTTCCGGTTCAGTTTATTGAGAGTTGTTTTTCCTGGCCTCGAAAAAACTTGGCGCATGCCGTACATCTACCATGTCGTAGCAGCCACCAGTAATGATGCCTACACTTCCTCTGAAAACCTTCACCCCGCTGGTTCCAGTCACTACTTATCTCAGGACGGCGCTAGATACCATTAGCCCGGGAATCGCAACTGAACGGAGGAAATTTGACTGATCAAATACATTTCCTTTGCTGAAAGTGATTCTACCTTCGTTTTTGGATGGGCCAAGATAGTTCACCTTGACCATATACTGCCAAACGGTTGCATGTCTAGTCTTAAAAATATACCCATCCTCCATCTTGAAAACCATGCTTATCTGTTTGTAACTTTCGTTGTACAGACGTTTTTACTTGTTTCTTAAGCTCGGACATGATACTTTCAACTGCAGGTTCACTATGTTTATTCACTTGAGGAATAAGAGAGTGTGGAAGATGCCGTCTGCATTCGATGCACACGATGGACATTGTCGGTAGCGACGGTCGACTTGTCATATTCGAATTTGTGCTCACCTTGCTTTTTTGACATAAGGCCGCAAAAAAACATATTATTTCTGTACGGCAACCCAATGGGCCTTTGCTACTGTTGGTATGATGAAAAGATGCTCATAGTTGCATATGGCTGTTCAAGCAAAGTTCAATGTTTAAGCGATTTAGCGGGAAATGCCCAGTCTCGAAAGGTGTTAATTTGTGCCGTGGTGTCAGTTTAATTGACCTTGGACATTCACATCCCAGCTAGATCGCAGTTGGTAGCCCGGAATGGGAAGCGGGCGGCGACCTTAACCCTAATCCCAACCTTAACCCTAACCGTAACCTCAACCGTTACCACTAACCGTTAACCCTAAAGGCAACCTTAACCCTAGCCGAAATCGTAAACGTAACCGTAGCCCTTAGACATAGACGTAACTGAGAAACCTAACCGTAGTATTGGAACCTATTCTTACGCTCAAACCCTAATCATAACCCGAAAACCTAAGCCTAAAGGCATAACCCTAACCGGAAAATCGGAAACCGTTAACCGGTACCCTAATCCTAACCTCAAACGTAAAACGGAATCCAAATGAGTCAGATGTGATTATGGAGCCCCACAAAAAGCCCCAGTAAACAAACCCCAACCACCCGTAATGCGGGTCCAGGCTAGCCCACATCCCTTTTCCTTTACTGTCCAAGTTGCTTTATTGTAATGCACACACCGCTGCAGATCTATCCCTACATGGCTTGCATGCCCCATGATCAGGCCGTTGGACATCCTGGATATAACATTTATTCAGCAAGTGAATTTTTTTATTGCCGTTCTTACTCAGAGCTCGTAAGGTATGGGGTACTAGTTCGTGAGGACAGCGTTAGTAACATCACGTTCAAATATAATAACGATGTTAAGGATTAATTCTACGGACACGGTTTTCATAGACTTTCTGAACAACATTTAACGAAGAAGTTGAGGTAGTTTTAGAATTTGTCGCCTTCTCGGATTGCACTGAGGTCTAGGCGTTGATTTCACGTGGGCTGTGGGAGAGGGTTTGTTAATATATCAGTCTAACCGAGGTCTTATTTCTTTGGACCTGTTGGACAATCCTTAACACTAGCTCTGTGCATTTTGCGACATTGCATAACTGCGTAGATTGACGTGTAAACGGTAAATGAAGCTTGTTTGGCACTTGGAGCGAGCCAAAACCTGCTTTAAGAAACTGTAAGGCATCAGTAGTCTGAGCGTGATCCGTAAACAGAGGGGTGTCTCCATGGGGGGCAAAACTCTTAGTTGAGGTCTCTAGCTACCCCAGCATCACTGATATCAACCGGTCGACGACAAACCGGGACTTTTCAATACCGTACTGCAGTGGTGTTGAATTTGTGACGTCACTCTCATGCGACCTTATGCTTTCAATCTCAGCGAAAATAACGCGAGATCGCCAGTGTAATGATGCAGTCATCTCTCCATGATAAACCGACTTAAGTTTCTAGTCCCAGGTGTACTGCCCCACTGTAGAATAAGGACAGAAAATAAGCCCAAGATTGCCATTCCAGTCTCGTTTCTGTGGTTCTTGGACCCGACGTCTCAGTTCTACTGTCTGCAGTCTCTTTCTGTTATAATTGTTTACTATCTTTAAACGACCACTAAAAATCAACTGTCTTAGTTTGGTGGAATTCCAGATGGAAAGATGGCTCGGTTTTACTCGGAACCGGAGGTTGGACCGCAACGGTTCCTTCTCAGTCAGCCTTTACGGCATCCCCGTACGTGTAGAATATGAGACGTTCCTAAGTAAAGTCCGCTAACCGTTGAAGTAAGGACAAGATGACGTGCTGCGCGAATGGACAGGTTTTCTTACCCTTGTAGTCTGCAACATTCACGTCCATCTCTGGTTATCTTGGCTGTCTCTTGCCAGAAAAACGCGACCTAAACTGGAAGTGCGAATAAGTGATCTGGATGCAACAGAAGCCCGTCCCATTACAAATTAATTGACGTTTTAGTCACGGTTACACTCCGTTGGTAGTACAGGACTGAACCTTATCGTCTGCGACTGTCGAGCAGCCGGTGAGTAGCGTTTTCAACGAGGCGACCGTTGTGTTTACCTGCTGATTTGATATTTTAAAACCACTGGTAGAAATAATCACACCTGTGCTGAGGTACCGGACCAATTTACCTTTGGTATTTTAGTCCCGTTTTCTTTGTCCGGATTGCTTGTTTAAATGTGACGAAAAACGACACAACTGAACAACCCGCTTTGCTGGCCTGCTTAGCTGTCGTGCTCTGTTATCAGGTTACTTAACGCACAGAATTTCTGTATTATTCACCGATCGGTTTAACTTGCTGCCTTTAATGATAAGGGCTCGTGAGATATAACTCGTTAGTTCGTGAGAACATTACCATTTACGTCGCACTGTCGAAGGCTGAGCACTGACGCCCCCGCCCCAAATGAAACATTGCTTATGAAACATTTAACAGGTGTCTGGGGCTGTGTTTTGGCAGCAGTTGTAGATCGTATCACCAGCTGTCAAACGTAACTGTAATGGAAAAGAGGTTGATCGGTTGACGTGAATGCGATGATTAAAAGCTTGATTTCGTCTCACGTCAATCATTTTCTGTTGCTCGAGCTCCCTTCTTTCTAAGTTTGGATCTGGCACAGGCGAGACAAAGCCGCTTCAGTCTAGAGACCGCCTGTTCGGGTTGCAGAGTGTCAGCTGGAAGACAGAACGTTGATGCACCCTGCCGTCATGCAATC